GGGAAAATAACCTTTTTACTTTGCATTCGAGAGGAGAAACAAACAAGAGAAAAAGGAAGCATCGGCCAACAGAGTCAAACTGCTTGCAAATGGCCTTGTTAGGAACCCCAGCTCATTCAAAACTGTCTTTCAGGAGCCAGCTGTGAGCAGTACCGTGTAAGACACGACGTTGCGTGGTTTGAGCCTTTGCTCCTTCACCCAAGAGCAGATCTTTTCCCAAAGCGCACACACTGATTGTGCCCAGGAGCTCGCTTTGGACCCTGTGAAAAGGCAACAGGGGTATTTGATTAAGCTAAAAAGGAGTGAATCTGCATTGTCACTTAATTAAAATAGTAGTCTCAGATTTGGGGATGGGGGTGGTCCCGAGATGGAAATTGGGCATGGTCTGAAACTCACGATATCTCACAGACCACGAGGTGCCTCTGTGCACCCCTGGGTGGTTACAGTCAGCACCATGAGGAAGCAGCTGGATCAGCTGTACCAGGAGGGGGAGGAGGAGCCAGAGGACACGAGCATTGCCCAAGGGGAGGACAGTGGTGCCGCCACATTGGATACGGGGTGGGGGAGGGGGTTCCTCCATGAGTGACACTCAGGGTGGCCATCTGATTCAGGCCCTGATTGTAGGTCTGTGCACCTTGGGCTGGGGAGCTGAGACCCAACCAGACACCTGCACTCCAGTGGTCACTGCAGGGCTACAAACCAGCACCACAAGGTGGACACCGCTGAATGTGGCTAAACACCATGCGGTCCCTATCTGGCACGGCAAAGTATCCGTTACCAGGCTCACATGCTGGTATAGCTGGCACGTGGGTGAGTCTGGGACCCTTCTGTGGAGATAAAGGGGCCAGGCACTGAAGGCCACATGCGGTGTGACCCCAGGCCTAGGGCATCTCCCCAGGATGGACAGGTGCTGGGAGACATTAGGAGGACATAGCCATTGACAAGGGGGCCACCGGGACAGGAGAACAGAGACACCACTCTGTGGTGGGGACTCGGGGGCTCAGGAACTGATGGCGTGAAGGTCTCACGGCAGCTGTGACGTGCTTCTTGCTGCTGAAGAGCTCGCCGCAAGAGGATTAAAACAGCCAGGTTTTGGTTATACGCCAATCCTCTTCCCTCAGGCCAGTTCTGACTCAGAGTGACCACACAGGGTCCAGTAAGACTGCCTCTTCGGGCTGTGAAGTCAGCAAATGGCATGGGAGCAGCTAGCCTCATGGTTCTCCCAAGGAGCACTGGAGGCTTGAACCTCCAACCGTAACCCACTGTGCCACCAGGGTGACCAGAATGGAGGTTTGGGTTTTGAGGATCGAGAGAATGAGGAATGGTGGCCGTGTCCCGAGAGGGCCTCAAAAGACCACAGAGCCACGAGAGCTTGATGAGTCTTGCATGTAACTGTCGGGAACGGTGGCACAGTGGTTCCCCGGTGGACTGCAGTCCTCAAGGTCCGCAGTTCGAAACCACCAGCCACTCCATGGGGCAAAGATGGGGCTTTAGACTGCCGTCAACCATTCTGGTCTCCGAAACTCACGGGGCAGCTCTGCCCTGTCCTAAAGGGTCACTGTGATTCGGCATCCCCTAGATGTCGGCGAGTGCGAGTGTGGTTTACCAGGAGCCGTGGGGGAGATGCTGCGAGAGGGTAACCGGATTGAGGACTCTGTACACCGAGCTGCTGGTGGGACACCTGGCCGTTCTCCGTGAGCGTCGCTGGAGCGGGGGGAGGGGGAGCTGGGCATCTTCCGGATGGTGCCTCTGAGGAGAGCAGTTCTGCAGGGCAAGGGTGGGGCCAAGGAGCATCTTAGAGCTTCAAGGAAGCCCCCAGTAAGTGAGCGAGGGAGGCCTCCTGGCTTTGCATGCCTCAGGGTGGGGGGTGCACATGTTGCTCAATTCTCAGCCCCCACCCATCATGAGGGCCCCCCATTGGCTGTCCCACAAACCACCTGGGCCCAGGGGCTGGGAGCAAGTGGGGCCACATGCATGGGGACACCCCCTGTCTGCCACCCATCCTTACTGCCTGGACACCGCACAAAGGGCCCAGGTGGATGCTGGTCCTGCCATTCCATGCCGCTGAGCCCTGACTGCGCCCTGGGACTGAGTCCTGCCCCCCACCCCCACCCCTGTCCTGCCAATGCCAGGGTGTGCCTGTGGGATTGCTTCTTCCATCCAAGGCGGGAACCACGGTTGCTGGGATATCTGATCCATGGCAGTAGTGGAGCCTTTACCAGGAAAGCGGGTGGTGTTTTGTGCTGGGCGTGTGCTGTGATCCCCAGATATGGGGAGCGTTTATAACTCCATCTGGGCACTGCTCGCACGCAGAGACTGGCGGACCCAGCCCCGGCCTCCGCACTTTCCTCTCAGGCGGTCAAACCTCAGGCTGTGCAGAGAGCCGGCGGGCAGCGTCCACCAAGGCTGACTGCCCTCGGCCCGAGAGCACAAGCTACATTAAAACCACATGTTGCTAAGTGTTGGCTGGCTGGCCAGGCCAGCCGTCAAACCAAGCAGGGCCTCAGGGCCGGGCATAAAGTGAGCTTCCCTGCCCCCGAGGCCCTGAAGCACACTCGGTAGGGAATCCTGCTGCAGAGAGCCCAGAAACACATGCAGAATTCCGCACCGCCGACTCCCTGCTCCCTGTGATGTCAAAGTGTCCCCAAGTCCTTGAAGTAGTGCCCAGGCGGCAGGGGGCCCATGCCAGCAGCGAGCTTTGATGACCGACAGGCAGTCAGGGGGCCACCCTCAGGAGCCCTTGGACTGGACAGCCTTGGGCAGTCCTGGTAGCCTCGGGCACTCTGAGAGACACCCAGCGTGTGATGTGAATCGGAAACGCCCGAGAGCACACAGGAAGCCTGTTCTGCTCCAGTTTTGAGAGTCCAATGGGCTGTGTCCCCCTGAGCCCACGGAAGTCAGGCAAGCACTGAGGCTCTGTGCGCGGGCCTGGTGCCCGCGGGAGCAAACAGTATAAAATGCTTCCCAAATTTTGGCGTGTTGATTCTTCCAGCACGTGTTACTGGCCGTGCTGCCCAGAGCCCGGATTGCAGCTCCAGCTTCCGTCTGTCCGGGAATCCCATGGTGGAAGCAGCAGGCAGCGCGTCTGCTCTGGTCCTCTGCGTCTGATCCAGGGAGGTTCTGACAGAGCAGAGGAGGAGGAGGAGGAGGAAGACGAGAAGGAGGAGGAGGAAGTTGAAGTGACGCAGGGGCATCCACCCCAGGGCATGCCCAGCCTTGCTTGGGGCAGGGTAGGGCTTGCTTAAGGGACAGCACTGATTCTCACTCTGCTACTCCAGCCCCATCGGCCAGTGTGTCCTTCGTGGTGGCTTGCACGTGGCTGTGGTGCTGGAAGCTTTGCCACGGGCACTAAGTACCCGCAAGTTACCCATGACGGTCAGGTCTACTCAGACCTCTCCGACTAAGACAGATGGTCGGAAGTCAGCCTGACGGCCCCTCTGGAACTCAGCCAGGCCAGCGCAGAACAGTGTCCTGGACAACATAGAGGGCCGAGGAGACCAGGAGACCCTCAGGGAGAAAGCGTGACACAGAAGCAGAAGCAAGGGGCTCAGCCTAGCAATGAGGGTGGGGAAGGTCAGGGCCTGGGTGGTTGAGAGTCAGCTGACCCAGTGCACTGCCCACCACTACCCAGTGCTGCAGGAGGAGCCCCTGGGTGGGGCCATCGTCCACACTGGGCTGGAGCGCACCAATGGCCCAGTTCTGGGCAGCACCTGCCCATCCACTGACCTCATGCTCCCTGATGCTCATCACTGGGGGGCGGAGCCCGCTGCTGTGCCTCACCTGTCAGCCCACAACGGGAGGTCCTTCTCATGTGTCCCCTCCACGCGACCAAGCAGGATGTCCTGCTGCAGCGACAGGTCTCCCATGTGAGGACTCGCCGCCTCCCTTCCCCTCGACTAAGCATGAGGACCTTCTCTTCTTCTTTTATTAAAAGATCATTGTATCGGGGGCTTTTACACCTCTTATAACAATCCATACACCAATTGTATCAAGCACATTTGTACATAGGTTGCCATCATTATTTTCTAGACATTTACTTTCTATTGAACCCTTGGTATCAGCTCCTCTTTTTTCCCTTCTCCCCCCACTCTTGTGACCCCTTGATAAATTATTAATTATTATTTTTCATATCTTACACCGACAGCTGTCTCCCTTCCCTGATGGTTTCTGTTGCTCCTCCCCCTGATGTGTGTGTGTGTGTGTGTGTGTGTGTGTGTGTTGATCACTGTGATTGGTTCCCCCTTCCTCTCCACCTCTCCCCACCTTCCACTACCCATCTGGTACCGCTACTGCCATTCCTTTCCCTGGATTCTGTGTCATTAGCGCTTATCTCTTATCTGCACCTGTGTACATGCTCTGGTCTAGCCCACAGTGAAAGGCAGGACTGGGGTCATGTTAGTGGGGGGTGAGGAAGCCTCAAGAAACCAGAGGAATATTGTGTGTTTCATCAGTGCAATACTGCATGTGCCCTTGTTGACTCATCCCTTCCTTGTGACCCTTCTGTGAGGGGCTGCCCCATTGTCTATGGATGGGTTCTGGGTCTCTGCTCCGACCCCCGTTGTCCTGAGCTCTACAGACAAGCAAGATGTCCTTCTCCGGTGGCCTGTCTCCCTGAAGACCAGCCACTGCACTCTTCCCCCAGGACCATTCTGGGTGTTTCCCAGGAGACCAATCTGTTCCCTGGTGGCAGCTTCACCGTGGCTCCCGGAACCACCTGCCCCCTCTTGGTGCAGCTCGGGTGGATGTGCCTGGGTGGGTGTCCTGGGGCAGGTGGAACAAGCCTATCTTGATGGAGGCCAGGGCTTCTCACTTGTCAGGGTTCCTCCTCCCTAAACGCAGAGCAGCCGCTCACCCTGTGTCTCACACGACCCACTGGATGTAGACAGGACTCCAGGTGCCTCCCTCGGCCCCCCTGTGGCTCTGGGTCTGGATCTGCAAGATGCCCTAGCCACCCCTCTGTCCTCACTGGCCTTGACCCTGCCCCTCTGTCCTCTCCTTAGATGTTTCCCGGTGTGTGGCCGAGAGGAAGTACACCCAAGAGCAAGCCCGGAAGGAGTTCCAGCAGGTGTTCATCCCAGAGTGCAACGATGACGGCACCTACAGCCAGGTGCCTCCTGGATCCGGGGAGGGTGGGCCTGGGCAGTGGGTGAGGTGCTGTGCCTGGGCAGGGGAGGGACCTGATGACCAGAGCACTGGGGTAGAGCAGGGCTAAGGACAGAGAAATTACTGGGAAGTTGTTTCATCACAAGGCGAATCTTCATGGAGAATCCATCTGCAGCTGTGTGCACCCCGCCTCTGAAGTTCAGCCCGGGACTTGATGGCTTAGGCTGGGTCACCTCCCAGGGAGGTGGAGGCCCTGGCAGCTGGACCCATGTGGAAGGCTGTCTTGCTCACCGTCTGTCTGTTAGGGGAGACGCTCGAGCTTACCAGCCCGATCGGGCTACAATGAGGGGTCAAGGACCAGCCACATCCAGCGCCTGGCTGGCCAGGCAGTGCCTGAGAAAGAGCCCATCTGCCTGTGCCGAGAGCAACGGTTCAAACCTGTCACGCACCCCATCCTTCCTGCTGGGTTTGGGAGAGGCAGTGGAGCCTGGTGCACACTGTGCCTCAGCCTTAGGACATCAGCTTGGTGCTTTTTGCAGCCTGTGTATGACCATTGCGAGGAGGGACAGGTTGAACAGGGTGGGGAGGGTGAGGTGCAGTGGGTCGAGCTGTGAATGGGGTGGTTAGGGGGAGCCCTCTGGCTGAGGTCTGGCAGGGACAGGCACAGGAAGATGCCATAGCCAGGCACCTGTCCCCGTCCCTGATTCTGCCACCGACCCACGGGGCACTGGTAACTCTCCGGCCTTCTCTGGTCTCTGTTTCTTAATTGTACACGGGACCAGGCTGCATGTCCCAGGCAGCGGGGTTCTCTGGTGACTGTCCCTGCAAGGCCAGGTCAGCCCCAACCCCGAAGCACCAAGGTAGCCCCGGGGCTGCAGAGCCCCGTGTGCCCCAGGGTCTGTGCACCATGGTGTCTTCTCTCACAGGTCCAGTGCCACAGCTACACGGGATACTGCTGGTGCGTCACGCCCAATGGGAGGCCCATCAGCGGCACGGCCGTGGCCCACAAGACACCTCGGTGTCCCGGTATGTCCCAGGCCACGCGGGTACTGTGGGCGCTGCAGAGGACGGGAGGCGGAGTGGACGTGTCTGTCTCTCCTGGTTTCCTCCTGGTTCTCAGGGAGACAGACCAGGGGCACAGGGTGCTGCAGGCGGGACAGCAAAGGTCTGTGCCTGGTGGTGTGGAAGCATGTGGCCGTGTCTGCGTGTGGTCACAAGTAAAACACATCCAGCACCCACTGCCTGTAAGTCGATTCTGACTCAGAGCAAACCCCATCGGACAGAGAACCGTGGGCCCATCTTTCCCGCAGCAGACGGCCTTGTGGTCCTCCTCCCGGGAGCAGCTGCTGGCTCCGAGCAGGCCTCCCCTGCTCCTATCGGTGAAGTGTGCGTGTGCCTGTGTGTGCCCGCATGTGTGTGTGTGTGCAAGAGGCGCCAGAGGCTTTGTGGGAAAATCAGATGAGCGCTGAGTGAAGCGTTTCCGCGGACTCTCGGAAGCCCCTCCTGCAGACCCGAGCTGCAGGTGAGAAGTGAGCAAAGTCCACGGCTCTGTTTGCTTGCTTGCTTGCTAACCACAAGGACTGCTGTCGCCCCGGGTGACCGTGACCAAATATTTGTGTCATTTTGGTCAGAGGGAGCAAGCAGGGCTGGTTTACCCTGTGTGTTTGCGCAGAAACAGTGCAGCCCCCTGTTGCCCGTCCCCTCCCAGGTGACCCGTGTTTTCATGCTGCTCTTGCGATGGTTCGACCTGACACACCGAGGGCAATGACACTGATGGAGGTGGGGCTCCCCGCTGCCTGGTTTCCATCGACCCTCCTGAACGCATCTGCGGCTTCAGGCCGTTTTCTTCGGGAAGGGCTGCAGACTCGTTGTGATCACCTGTCAGGGAGATGTAGCCATTCACCTGCATCTGAAAGGTGTCACAGACTGCGGTCAGAGCCAGCCCACACCGCAGGTGCAGCCAGACAGACAGAGCGCTTTCTAAATGTGTTCTGGCTCCTTCAGGTTCACTTGGAGATCCCCCCCCCACCCCACCCACTCCATTTGCAGGCAGAATTTCTGTTCATTATTCTGACAGGTATTGGGATCCCAGCATCCAAGGTTAAAACTCAGGACTGCTGCTGGCTCTGGAAAAATGCAAACTCACCCTTGGGGGCCATGTCCTACTGACAGAGCCTGGCGTCAGAGCTGTGGGGGTGCACACCGTATACTTCACTACACAGTTAAAAACTAAGGTGTCCTCCACGCCTTGAACTTTGGGGGGGTTGGTATTCTCAGTCCTTCATAATAATTTCACCCATGCTGAAAGAAGAAGCACCCCGGCGGGTTGCCTCCACGTCTGGACCTCCCTCCTCCCTCTGTGGGACTCACGGAGACTGTGGTCCGTCTGTGTAGCAGCATCCTGCACCTTCGCTGGACCTGAGGGGCTGGCGGTCCTGTGACAGGGCCTGAAGCGCGTTCTTGGGAAAGGACGCAGAGTCAGGTGACGCTCTTCCAGGGGACACTCGTCTCTGCACCGAGTGCCCATTCTATCTTTACTACGAAGCTTCCTGACCTGGTTTGGGGAGCGTGCTGTGGTCCAGGAATGACCTCGGGTCTCTGCCCAGCTTGTTTGTAGCAGAAAGTGTCCTGTCGCTTCGCTCGCCATGGCCTTGACTGCCGGTGCCAAAGACCGAGACTGAGATGAACCAGGGTCTTCCCTGGTGGGCGCCGTACTTCTCTGCTGGGCGAACCTGAGTGGGGAGGGAGGGACAGCAGGGCCAGTGCCGGCAGCCTCAGGGGCGCACGGAGCTGAGCAAGGTCAGGCAGAGCACTGGGAGGTTGCAGCAGCCACGGAAGGACCGGTGTCCTGGGTGGCATCGCCACAGGTAAGGTGGCTGAGGCCACCCCGAGGTCCTCCGAGGGTTGGTTGGGGGTCGACTTGTGGGACTTCTTCGTGGGGATCGGGCGGAACCCAGTCCTGCACCCTCACAGAAGGGGGGCATTGTCAGGGGCCATCGAGTCACGCTGGCCGTGCGGCCACCCTGAGGACAGCAGAAAGCCAAACCACCTCTGCCAGTCCTGCGCCGTCGCAGTGCTGTGCTCAAGTCTCAGCCCATCTTGGCAGGGCCTCCTCGGTCTCGCTGCCCCTCCACGTTACCAAGCACGAGGCCCTCTGCAGGGCCCGGGCGCTCTTGACCTGTCCCAGGTCCGTGAGAGTCTCGCATCCTCGCCCTCACCTCTCAAGCACGCTGGCCGTACTTCTTCCAGCGCAGTTTGTTTGTCCTCCTGCCCCCGTGGAATACGCAACACTCTCCGCTGAAAGACACACGTGGCATGCCCTCAAACCTGAGCCAACGGGGAGGCCTCCATGTGGACACACACCCAGGCTTTGTGATGAACGCCCACCTCGGGTGAAGCAGCTCCTCCCTGAGGCTGACGCCAGCTTCGCAGCGGCGCAGAGCACACCCCTTCGCCTGGGACTGGGACCAAGCGCCAGGTCCATCTGCAAGCACCCCAGGAGCTTCATGTGTAGGTTCGCACGCAGGCCGGCTTTCCTGGTGCCCTGGATGGCCTATGGCCACCAAGATGCCCAGAGCTCGGCTGGGATGCTGTCATTCCATCCACAAGTGATGCCAGCCATTCCCGCTGGGCACGGGAGAAGGGAGGCAGGATGCCGTCAGAGCTGGCACTCCATGACAAAGGGCAAGTCCCCTTGCGGGTTGAACGATCCACACGCCTCTCGGGGCCCATACCCTAGCACCTCCATGATGGGCAGGTGACTGTGGCCCAGACGTTTCCATCCTCCCCTGCACCCCGAGCACCTGACCCCTGGGTCTATAGCTGGCTTTCTGTGCAGTGTGGTCCTCCTGCACCAGATTAAACCACCCGGGCCCACGCTTCTCCTCTCTGCCCCGAGCCCTGGCCAGGTGGGTCAGGCTCTGTGTCCCGCACCTGTGCAAGGTGGTGGCTCTCTATTCTGGAAGGGATGTTGCATTGCTTCAGAGCAGTGACTCGGCATGGCCGGTGGCAGGTGGGCACTGAGAACAAAGAGCCTTTCTCCGAGCAGGATTCCTGCAGCGAGCCTCTTCTCCGTCCCTTAGAAGGGACTACAGGGTCTTAATCTCATCAGTCTCCGTACACAGTCCTTGCAGATGCTGTAAACTGAGCCTGGGCGCACGGGTGTGTGAGCTAGCAGCAGCCAAGGCAGCTGAATGCGGCGCTCCGCTTAGCTGTGCTTCTGAGGAGTTCCGGTCTGCAGAGGGAGGCTTGGCAGCCACAGTTAACCTCAGCAAGGGGTGGTCATCTTCAACACCCCCACCCCCGCCTCTTGAGACCCAGAATCAGGAACAGCTTGGCACAGTCACAGGAGGGACAATCTGATGCTGGAGTGGACATGCTGCCAACACGGCCACCACCAGGCCTTTCTCAGGAGGTAGCCACAAAGGCCTCTCCGTCCTGCCCATAGCCGGCCTCATGACCACGACCTCTCACTTACACCTCCCTGAGCAGAACTTCCGCAGCTCCCGCGAAGGAGAGGGCTGACTGAGCCACCTTCCCTGGGGACTTACGACGGAATGGGGGGCATCTATGCTCCTGTGCGTTCCAAGGCTTCCGATGGGAACCCTCCTTGCTAAGGCCACTTGTTAAATGACAGAAATGGCACCAGTTGGGTGGAATCGCGTTTCGACATGTAACATACATGCGTTCAGCTGCGAGGCCTGCACGTTTTACGACGCTGAGGTTTGGACCTCCAGTGCAGAGCAGCCTGGGCAGGCTATGTCTCAGCTTATGAAGAAAAGCCTGGTGTGGAGGGATCCCCAGCCACTGTGACATTAATACAAACAAACACAGAGGACAGCTGAGTTGCTGGGAAGTCAGGGGGAGTCAGTGCGGGGAGAGGACAGAGGGTCCTGCCTGCAAGCTCATCACAGCCGTGTGGGGAGGGGGCTGGTCAACATCCCAGACAGGGAGCCTAGGACGGAGGCTAGTCTGCGGGTGCTGGAGCCCAGGTGTGTGAGGTGGCACAGTTTGGCTGTGGAAGTCGGGAAGGGGCAAAGAGAGACTAGTGTTACCAGAGAGAGTTGCTGAGTCCCCACCAAAACTGGAGACAGGTGGGCACCAGGACGGCGTCCCTGCAGGAGCAGCAGGCTGAGGACAGTCAGAGACCCGCCTTCCCCGGGCGGGTCTGTGCAAGGACGGGCACAGTGAGGCCCCGTGCTCAGCACAGGAGGGTGGAGCCCCACTGTTCACCCCAGCATCCATGACCCTCACGGGCTGCACCCCCGTCAAGCGTATTGATTTCCCCAAGTCAGCACCCTGAATGAATCAGCCCTGGAAGACCCTGACCCTAGACTTGCCCCCTGGTGGCCCTCCGGGGAGATGCCATGCCCGTGGCCTCTAGTCTGTTCTGACTGGTGGGGGCGGGGTGGGGGGTGCGGGGGCAGGGAGAAGAGGCACTGCCTGCTTCGGGTGCCTCTGCGTACCCTGCTCCCCATGGCTGCAGGGCTTTTCCGGGGCTGGTATTACTGCGCATTGCCAGCCCTTCCTTCCCAGGTGCTCTGGGTGAACCTGAGCCTGCAGGCCGGTGAGCAGCTGAGCGCTGTGACGTGGGCACCCCTAGCGGCTCCCGGTGCAGGCAGACGCCCGGATGTCCTGTCCTATTTCACCCAGTGGTAACAGCCGGTAATGACCGGACAGATGGTGGGTGTTTGCAATCACCCAGAGGTGGGCTAAGAGCACACGTCGCCCTGGGCACAGTTAACCCATCCAGCCCGTGTGGCCACCTTGCCAGTGTGTGGCCCCGGTAGGCTCACGCTGCCCCACGTGGTGCACCTGTCTCCGGGCACCTCACAGCCAGTGTTCTCTTGACGGGGCGTCGGGTGTGGTGATGAGCTAAGGAAGTCCACTGGCCGTGAGTGAAAGGTCGGCCGCTGAGCCACCTGGGGTGGCCCGCGAGACAGGCCTGGCCAGCGGCTCCCAGGACGACTGCAGCCTAGAAAACACCACGGGCTTTTCTTCTCTGTCCACAGGGCCTGTCAGAATCAGCAGCAGCAGGGTGTGAGTGAGTGTGTGTTTGGGGATATGTCTCTATTTCTATTTCTATAGCTATATCTGTATACCTACATCTACATCTATATCTGCATCATGGAATAAAGTTGGGGCTCTCTACTCCCTCAAAGGGTTACAGTCTCAGGAACCCACAGGAACCTCTCCTATAGGGTCCCAGTCCTATAGGGCCTCTATGAGTCGGCATTGACTTGATAGCACTGAGTCCGTTTTTGTTTCTTATAGATATAGGATAGGGCTTCGCAAATCCATGAGAAATGGAATCGGCAGATCACAGGATTCCCCGCAAATGTCTTCCCCTTGAAGGCATGTGTAAGTGCAGCATGGTTCACCGGTGCTGCCTCCACCCGCGCTTACCCACAGAGAGGATACAAGTGTCAGCCACCACCTGCTCTCACATGGTGGGGTCCCCGCCCCATGCCCCTGCAGCAGGCAGCTGTCCTCAGAGCATGTCAGAGCCCCCACCTCAGATACCGGCCGGCAGCAACCATCTCACACAGCGTTGGTACTTCCGGGCCACGGACCACCCCTCCTCACTGGGACCTCCCTGTCCTCTAGGCCACGTCCCTGTGGCTTGGGCTCCCAGGACCCGGCAGACAGTCACAGCAGCTCAAAGAGAGTGATCCACCGTAGAGGGGTACCCTATCGCATGCCATCCTCACAGTGACAAACATGAACCAGCATCAGTGCCCCCATCTCCCGGGCACCCTTTGCCAGGGCCATCACCTAGCAGGAACCTCGGTCTCAGCTCGTTCAGAGCAGAATGTCTGTTCTGAATCAGGAACCCACTCCCAGTGGGTCCTCAATCGATACTTTGCCCCTGACTCTCTAACTGGGCCTCACAATGGCAAGGAGACGAGTTGGTGCCTAAAACAGTTTGGACCCTTTGGAAAGAAAGGAAAATATCTGTAATATAAATACTTCCGTGTAATACCGACGTCTAAAATAAGGTCACACCTTGTTTGATCGGCCTTAATGTTTCCTGAACTCCTCTACAAAAAGCAGTTCTTCTATTATGTTAAAATTAATTGGAATCAAGCGGAAGGCAGGGTTTTCAATGAGCTTTAATCACATCAAAAGGAGCCCCTGTGGCTTCGTGGCTTCCCGTGGGTCTGCGAACCACAAGGTCAGCAGTTCGAACCCACCAGATGCTCAGAGGGGGAAGGGCGGGGCTTTCTGCTCCATGAAGAGTGGCCGTCTCGGAAACCCACCGGGCCGTCCTATCCTACCCTCCAGGATCACTGTGAGTCAGCACTGATTTGATGGAGGGGGTTTCGTGCTGTGGTGTTTTAGTCACATAACACCTTTTATTTTTATTTATTTATTGACGTTTTATTGGGAGCGCTTACAAATATCAGAACAATCTAATAGTTCAGTTAGATCAAGCATAATTGTACAATTGCTGCCACCATCATTTTCAAAACATTTTCTTTCCTCTTGAACAGTTTGATATCATCTTCCCTTCATCCTCTCCCTCCCCCTCCCCTAACCCCAAGAAACCCTTGATTATATCATATTATATTTTCCATATCTTACACCAGCTAATGTATCCATTCACCTACCAATCTGTTATATGTTCCCCTTGAGTGGGGTTATATAGTCATCGTTGCTATCAGGTCTCCCTTCCCTCCTTGCCCCTCACTGCTTTCTGTACCTCAAGGAATCATTACTCCCATTACTATTTCTGAAGGGTTTTTCAATCTTGGATTTCATGCATCTAACAATCTTAATGATATAAGTGAACATAGGCAGGTCTCACAAGATGCTGAGCTAGTGCCTGTCATTAGATTTACTTTTTAGAAACACATAAAGTACATAGTCATCTAGGCACTAACTCAGCATGATGACAGGTACCCAGAAGGCTGTGAGGGCACCCTGCAGATGACCAGCTGAGCTGAGGGCCCCAGGAACATGCACAGTTGGGTGACAGTGGGCTGGGGCCTGAGCTGGTTCCCGGACTAGAGCCCGCCCATGCCGCCAGTTGTGCCACATGGGGCGCTGGAGCGTGGGTCGTGTACTAGGAGTCCAGCAGGACTGGCTGTGGGGGCCTGCGTAGGGGGACCATCCACAACCCTCTGATCCAGTGCTTCTCAAGCTTCCTAATGCTGTGACCCTTTAAAACAGTTGCTCATGTTGTGGTGACCCCGAACCATAAAATTATTTTCGTTGCTACTGTTATGAATCTGATGACCAGCCAGTAACTTCATTCTCACCTCCCCATGCAGGTTCTGTAAATGAGAGGCTGCCTCAGCGGGAAGGGACAGGAAAAGCAGGTAACTATCTTAAATGGAAGGAGGCCTGGTGGGCCAGTGGGTTGAGTATCAGCTGCTAGCCACAAGGTCAGGGGTTCAAATCCGCCAGTCACTCCTCAGGAGAAAGATGAGGCTTTCTGCTCCCATGGGGATTGACAGCTCCAGAAAGGAGCCCACACAGGGCAGTGTTGGGAGACGTGGGCATGTTGGGAAGGGTGATGCTGCGGGGGGCCCTCATGGAGCAGGGGTGCTGCTGGAGGGATGGTAGGGGAGCCCAATCCATCTGAAGGAGCCCCAGGCCTGGCTGGAGAGAGAGGGCGAGTGGATGGAGGGATACAGTAGTCACTCGTGTGCCGGGGGAGTGGAGGCTGACACTCGGTGCGGGAGCAGGAAGGCAGGAGGATGTGAGGAACACGCTGGCGTCCTCAGCAGAGATGCACAGGACAAGCTGCAGGCGCCTCCGCGGCTGGCCCCCCTGGAGACGTGGGGACACGGTCCACATGCCCTTCAGCTTCGTGGACTTCGGGTCTTAGAAGAGGGTCGCGTAACACGCAGTAGGGATACGCCCCGAGTTTATCGTTCCTACCGGGTTTCCACTGGGGTGGGGGTGGGGTCCAAATGAACGGTGCCACGTTTTGCCAGCGCTTTAATGACAGCAAGCAGATTGTCCCTCCCCTTATCACAGGAAGCCCTTCCTCCCCCAAGGGATCGTGCTATGCAAAAAAATTCTGAAAAATGTCCATTTTGTTTTAGTTTCTGAAAAGAACTTCAGATAAACATCATTTTTTGTGATTCCGAGGGTCACATATCAGTCTTAGCTGGCCATTGTCTGTACCACAGTTCCTTAAAGATTTTACTCTGGAATTCACATACAATAAAAATCACATGAAGCTTGAGCAAAACAGTCGATCGATAGGTAGATAGATAGAGATGTTTTAAGGGGTGAGGGGTCGGGGTGCCTGTGTGGCTGGAGCCCCCACCGCTTCTAGAAGTTCCTGTGGGGGCTTGGTTCCCGTGGAACCCCAGACGTGGTTTCCATGTGTGCGTGTGAAGAGAGCTTAGTTGGCGTGTTTCTGCGGCACGAGAGCCTGCTCCTCCGTACTCACTGCCTCCATCCCCCGCCTCCCCCAGGTCTTCGCATGCCCTGCCCCCCGCAGACCTGGGGAGAGAGGTCCTAGGGGTGTATGACCCCCACACACACACAGTCCCTGCCTGCAGGCAATCCCGGCAGTGGGAAGGCCCCGGTCTGTCCCCTGTGACCAGGCTCTCCCACCTCACACGTCTGGTGAACTGAGTTCTCAGTTTGCTCCCCAGCTCCTTCCCAAGTGTCCAGGCCTCCTCCCTCTTCCCTCCTGGAGAACAGGATCGGACCTGATACCCCTACCCCTACCCCCATCCCACCAGCAGGGATCCCCTCAACCCTGGCATCAGAGCCCCTTTCCCCACGGGTCTGGGGGCTGCAGGCACCATCAGCATAGACCCCGTGTGCGCACGGATTTAACTTACTCTCGTAATCGTAGTCTCCTTGCAAATCTTCTCCATTCTGAATTCAGATGATGCGGCCCCCCCGGTGCTGGAGACGCAGCCCCAAGGAGATGAGGAAGGTGAGAGGGAGGGGTGGTGCAGCACGGGAGCCTTAAAGTTGGGGACAGGCGTCACACTGGCTGCCCCCTGCCATTGCCTGCCTCGTGGGTCATGACCCTTGTTTCCCTCGTGACCTTGGCAAACAGTGGCTGTTGAATGCGATCTTGAGCATGCTGCTTTCCTGCGGTCATTTCACTTCGTCTCTGCTCGCTACTTTTGTCTTTATTAGATCAAAATAGAACGAGGCAGAATATAATTGGCCCTTAGCTTCTGGCTAGGGTTGAAGTGCTACCATCTGCATAAGATAACACACCTAATTCAAAGGGGTGTGGTGGCATGCCCTGTTGGCCTGTTCATACTGCACACCTTCGTAAGCAGTTATGATGAAGGTGTGCGTTCTGTTCTTGCCCAGGGGCAAATTGTCTGAGATGCTGCCAAAAAACTTCTGCCTGTCCCACCTGGACCTGTTCTTAGGGACCGAGGAGTAGCCCCCAAGTGCCCACGTCAAATCTGGTGGTTCAACAATACTATCAACATGTGCATCCCCCAACGCTCTGGACAAAGCTGTGTTTTAAACCCTGTGCTTGTACTGAGCTTGTCCACTGAATGGGACTTCGGGACGTGCTGATCCGTCTCCACCACCGTGCGGCCTTTCTGCCCCTTTAAACCAATTCAAACAAGAGGGTTTTCAACATGTGTGGGTTTCAGGTGGCAGCCGTCTGACCTCAAACAGCACTTTAATTATATTTTATATTTTTAAGAATAACAAAGAGGCAGTAAGTAGCTTAATACTTTTTTAGCATTCTAGCAAGTGAGGCTGGGGGACAGCGGGGATAAAAGAATTAGGGAAATGTTCTAAAGCCGGGCACAGTTGTGGCCGCATGCTCTCTTGAATGTGCTTGAACTGTTGACTCGTATGGTACATGGATTGTATCCTGACAGGAGTGTTAAAACAATAAAAGATAGCCAAAAAGAAAATGGGCAAGCACAGTCATTTTGAATGTATATGATTCTTCTCGCTCACTAACACAGTCAGCTTATTTCTTGACATGTGTCATGTGCTTTACTTATTGCATCTGAGGCCGCGTGCTAAGTCTCTCCGGGAGTCCGCGTGCTGCCCTGACGCCTGAGAACCCTTTTCCTCCCTTTGACTCCTCAGATATCGCGTCCCGTTACCCCACCCTGTGGACGGAGCAAGTGAAAAGCCGGCAGAACAAGACCAACAAAAGCGCAGGTAACGTGGGGGCTGGGCGACTTTGTAAGAAGGGACGCAACAGGTCGAGGCTGTGCTTCCCCTTCTGGGAGCGGAAGTCGGACAGCCAGCCCGGGCTGCCATGCGCCCACGGAGAGCAAGCCTTCTGACTTGGCCACTGCGGCAAAGGCTGGGGTTTCTGGTCAGCTCTAACTTCTTGGCGACGTTGGTCCGCATCTCTAAGTATAAAAATGGAAACGTTTGATGGTAAACAAGTTGTGGGCACTGGGTTTGCCACGAAGCTGGTCTGAGCACCTCCCACTGTCTAAAACGGCTGCCTGGGCCTGTGGCCAACGAAGGGGCGCATTGACCTCTAGCCAGAGACCTCAGTGGGTTTGGCGAGAATTGAGTATCTCTGAAATGGGTGCTGTCACTCGTGACTGATGGTCTGTCTGCAGACGTTGTCCTTGGCCTTCCAAATGAAGTTTCGTTTTGTTTTTAATAAATCCTCATGGGAAGAAACAGCCATTCTGGATTCAGACTGGTCCAGCAGCAGGCAGCGACAACATAAGTTTTCTGCAACTGGCCCCAAGGGTCAAAGGTTGCAGATACCGCCAAAGGCTTCTTAGCATCGGGGCTTGGTTTAATCTGGGGTACACCTTGCTCTTCAAAGGATATGTTCCGCATCCACTGACCTGAAAGATCAAAACTCTATGAAGATTCCGCCTATTGAGGTACGTAGGTTTCCCGTTCAGCACTAGTAATTCTTATGGACTGTTCTATGGTTGGCATTGTTTGATTCTTATCTTTCTGTTGCTGATTCCAACCTCTATTATGTTGTGAGCTGAGAATCTCTTTGTGCTCCTTGGATGTTTATGAATCTGTGGAGGCCTGATTGGTGGCTGGACTCAGGTCCTGTTCTGGAGAATGTTCCGTGTGCACCGAGAAAGACGGTCTATTGTGCTGCTGTTGGCTGGGGTCTTCTGCACGTGTCCATGGTAGAGGGCACTGCTTCCGTACATGTATGTGCAAGTCGGTAGATTGTATTGCTCGATGGCTCACTTGTTCTAAATCCATCCCTCCATTCATGTAGCACGCGCCACAGAACATCTGACTGCGAGGTGAGTGGTTCAAGCCCACCAGCTGCTTCTTGGGAGAAAGATGAGTCTGATGGCTCCCATAAAGATCTTCAGCCCCAGAGACCCTGTGTAAGATTGCGATGGTTTGGAGTGGACCCGGTGGCAAGAGGTTTGGTTTGTGTGTGTAAAGCCCAGACATGCTAAGGTCGATAATAAGAATCTTTGTCCTCAAGAAGGTCCGGGCAAGCAACCATACATGTTAGCAGCTAGGTTAGCACACAGTGCCGTAGGCACGGTAAGGGGCAATGCTGATGAAGGCTGATGGGAAGACACAGCCCTCTTCCACCTGCCCTGGTTCTTTGTGGGACCAGAGGCGGGGCTTCCTTCTTTTGTGCCAATTCCTTCAGCTCTACAGGTGAATGACCCACGGAGACCTTACATGAGGTGGCAGTGCAAAGTTGTGAGAAAACGTACCTTGTAAGGGTGGCTACTGAGCGTGTTGGTTGTTGCAACGAAAGACCGAGGGCCAGTGGCTTTCTGAACGTGGCACAGAAGCTGGCACCCGGTGAGAGAGGCTGTGCGCACATCCAAGAGTCCCTCGCAGTCCTGAGAACAGTGTCTGGAACTTAATAGACGCGGAGCAAACCCGTGCTAACGAAGTGAATGGGTGGCTTAAACGCACAAAGCACGGGTGCGAGAAAAGGATGCGTCAGGTTTGAGAGAAGTGGGCATTGTTGGCTGCCCTCCCGGGGGCTCTGGCTCACCGCAGCCCCGTGCGCAAGAGAACGAGACACTGCCAAGTCCTGCGCCACCCTCACAATTTTGTTCTTGACGAACCGTCGTTGCAGCCACTGTGTCTGTCCATCTCCCACAGTCCATCTCCAGGGACTGGTGTCTCCTCTTAATGTGTCCAAAGTGCACGAGAGGAAATCTTGGTCCTAACGAGAGCTCTGGCTGTACCTCTTCCAAAACAGATGTGTTTGTTCTAGAAATCCTTGGTACTTTCAATATTCCTCAGTGGCATCATAATTCCAATATATTCATTCTCCCCTGGTCTTCCTTATTGCCAGCGTTCACATGCATAGGAGGAATTGAAATGACCATGGCTTGAGTCAGGTGCACCTTACTTCTCAAAGTGCGCCCATGTTCTTCCACACTTTAAAGGAGTCTTGTGCGGCAGATTGGCTCCATGCAATGCATCGTTTCATCTCTTGACTGCTGTGTCCAGGAGCATTGATTGTGGATCCAAGCAAGAGGAATTCCTTGTTAAATTCAGTCTTTTCTCCACTTATCATAGTGTTATCTATTGACCCAGTTGTGAGGATTTTTGTTTCCTTGCCATTGGAATCCATTTTGAAAGCTAAAGCCCTTGAACTTCATTAGAACATTTTACGTCTTCCTCATTTTCAGCAAGCACGGTTGAGTTATCTGCGTATTACAGGTTGTTAATTAACTTTCCTCCAAGCCTGTGTTCCTCTCCATGCAGTTCAACTTCTCAGGTTCACCGCTCAGCACTCAAACTGAACGAATGCGGTGAAACAAATGCAGCCCTTGTTCTGTTTGAAAGACAATTCTTGGTCCACAGACAGGTTCTACGTGAGCACAAGGAAGCATTCTGGAATTCCCTTTCTTCTCAAGACTACCCATGGTTTGTCACGATCCCCACAGTCGAATGCCTTGGCATAGTCCCTGAAACACAAGTAAACATCTCTCTAGTGTTCTCTGCTTCCAGCCTGGATCTGTCTGATGTCAGCAATGATCTCTTTTTCCATGTCCTCTTCTGAGTGCAGTGTTGGTTTCTGGGAGAGTCCTGTCAATGTACTGCTATCACCGCTTTTGGACGATCTTAGCAAAACGTGCTTGTATGTGACATTGATGACATTGTCCTGCAGTATCTGCATTCTGTGGGACCCCCATCTTTGGAATGGATTCAAGTACACGTTCTTAGAGCTCTTCTGGCCAGGTGGCCCGGTATCGCTCTTTCCCAGATTTTTTGGCACTGGTGATAGATGAATGTGCCTGGCGCTTCGTCTCGTTGTGGAGACACTGACATTGGTGTTCTGGCCGTTCCTGGGCCTTTGCGTTCGGCTGATGCCTTCAGTGCAGCTTGGGCTTCTCCCTTCAGGACCAGCGGTGCTTGTTCATAGGCTCCCTCCTGCGTGATGGGCGGTCGACCAGTTCTTTTTAGTGCAGTCACTCTGTGTGTTCTTTCCGTCTTTTGACGCTTTCCAAATCATTCAGTATTTGAATTTTCAATATTACAACTCAAGACTTGGATTTTTTTCTCCAGTTCTTTCTGTTTGATATATGCAAAAATTTTTATTTTTTTAACTCCGTATCTTTGCTTCCTTGTAACCTTTTACTTTGTTTTCTTGAGCGGTCCTTGGGGTTTCTATTTGGCTCCTTTCTTCATCATTTCTTCCATTTGCTGTAGCTGCTCTGTGATGAAGAGCGTGTTTCAGAGTCTCTGCTGGCATCTTCTTTGGTCTTTTCTTTCTTTTTTATTTTCAATTTATTGGGGGCTCGTACAAGGCCCATCACAATCCATCCATACATCCATTGTGTCAAGCACATTTGTACATTTGTTGCCATCATCATTCTCAAAACACTTGCCTTCCACCTGACCCCTTAATATTGGCTGCTCATTTTTCTCCCTCCCTCTCCACTCTCCCCTCCCTCATGAACCCTTCATAATTCACACATTATTATTATTTGGTCATATGTTATACTGTCTGATGACTCCCCTGCCCTTTCTCTGCTGTCCATCCCCCAGGGAGGAGGCTATATATAGATTCTTATAATCGGTTCCCCCTTTCTACCCCACATTCCCTCCACCCTCCTGGCATCGCCACTCTCACCACTGGCCCTGAAGGGATCATCCACCCTGATTCCCTGTGTTTCCAGTTGCTATCTGTACCAATGTATGTCCTCTGGTCCAGCTAGATTTGTAAGGTAGAGTTGGATCATGATAGTGTGGGGGGAGGAACCATTTAAGAAATAGAGGAAAGTTATATGTTTCATCGTTGCTACCTTGCACCCTGACTGGCTCATCTCCTCCCCACAACCCTTCAGTAAGGGTGTGTCCAGTTGCCTACCAGTGGCTTTGAGTCTCCACTCTGCACTCACCCACATTTACAATGATATAATTTTTTTGTTCTTTGATGCTTGCTACCTGATCCCTTCGACATGGTCTTTTTCTTCCATGTGGGCTTTGTTGCTTCTGAAGTAGATGGCTGCTTGTTTACCTTCAAGCCTTTAAGACCCCAGATGCTATATCTTTTGATAGCCAGGCACCATCAGCTTTCTTCACCACATTTGCTTATGCACATGTTTGTCTTATATAATAGTGTGGGGAAATAGATCTATGTGCATATCTTTATAGGTTTAGAATTAAGGCATCAGATGGACATTGGGCCTCCACGAAAGCACTTACTTGATGCAAAAACACGTTGTTCTATTAAATTGGCATTCCAGGATGCACACCTTCCTGACACGATTGCTGAAGAAAAACCTGTGCATAAGCAAATGTGGTGAAGAAAGCGATGGTGCCCAGCTATCAAAAGCTAAAGTGTCTGGGGTCTTAAGGGCTTGAAGATAAACAAGTGGCCATCTAGCTGAGAAGCATCAAAGCCCACATGGAAGAAGCACACCAGCTTGTCTGATCACGAGGTGTAGAAGGGACCAGTTATCAGACATCAAAGAACTAAAAATCATATCAGTGGGTGCCCACCTTCCTGATACGATCACTTTTCTTTCTTCTAAAAGACCTCTGACTTTGTTCACGTATGTTGTTCTTGGTGTCCACCTCCAGCTCTCCGGGTCTTCTGTCATTAGTGTTCAACGCATTAAATCTGCTCTTGAGATGTTCTCGAAATTCCGGAGAGAAAGGCCCAGGTCCTATTTCTACTTGTTTGAACTTACTTGGACTTGTTTTCATTTTCTTCAACTTCAACTTGAGCTCAC